ACAACTGGTCGCAGTCACAATTCATCGCAACACAATTCGTCGCAAGTACTGGTCGCATGCGATAATTGATCGCAGGCGAAAAATGATAGCGTTTATAGAGAAAATAAGTAATTGTTATGAATGAGGAAAATAAAATAAAGTGCTATATTCTCAAAAATTCGATTATTTCTAAAAAAGTGTCAAAATAAATACATACGAGTTCCATAAAACAGTAACTATTAGGCTCATTTCCGACTAAACCAAAGTGCAAAAAAGTGAAAATATTGCAAAATAATTTTTTTAATGCTGACACATATCTCGTCGGTATGCTACTGTAATGTTCATTTGGATTATTCGTCTTATTGATTAGACACTCAAGTAAGTGATTCAAGCTTGTTTTCTCACAAGTTTAAAGAGTGAAAAAAATAGCTTTCAAAACGTGTTGCACGTCATTTTTTTTAATAAAAAATGGTTTTAAAATTATTACAACTGTCGAATTAAAAAGTTATAGATTTATCATAATCAATGAATCTCGTTACAGTTTTAAGTGAAAAAGTATTATTTTCATTACGTTTGATAGTTTAAAAAATTAAATATATATATTTTTTAATAAATTTGGTGCAAAGAAATTTGAATTTATATATTAGCATTTAATCTTGGAATTTACTGCATTCTTTGCAGAAAATTTGTTGGTCACTACAAATTAGTTTTGGATTATCTTTAATCCATGATAAAACCAAAGTTGTTTTTTCATTCAGAACTTTTTTGAATGCTCACACTGTTAATGAGGCGCTTGTAGATACGAAAGAATGAATAATTTATCTCATTCCCTTTACTAAATACCTACATACCAATCTCCACTTTTACGCCATTTGTGTAAACAAGATCGTAAAAAGATTAATTTTGACCATGGACTCCATGGAGCAAAGAATATACTCATACTGGAGGAAGTGCCAGACTTAAAATGATGGCTTCGAGCCAAACCGGTAAAGTGTCATAAATAGTACCTCTCATTACCCAGATAAGACTGCCGATGACAGTGACGTACAGTTTTTTTTTTTTTTTGAAGCGGCTCATGGAATAAAAATTGTTGAATAAAACAACGCACATAACAGATTTATATTCTTGTCTATTAATTGATATTATTTAAAATATTTAAATCAATCAATACATTACGAGTAACAAGTAATACAAACAGTGAGAACCGTTAAAAAGTAGAAACAACCAGGATGACGACGCCACTGAGTAGTGGTTATTCGCAATGGCGTGACTAATTTTTAGCTTGGGAAGTTTGAAAAGTTTATTGAGGGGCATTTCACTCGGAAGGACGACTATTCACAGAATTATTTGCCTAATCTGCCGGATGTAGGTGGACTTCTCCAGCCCATCTTGTAAATTTTTGTAGGATGCAAAGTGCGGAGAATAATAAAATCAGGTAGCAACCCGTAGTAGGGTCATTCATGGAAAACTGCGAACCAATTATTTCTTCCTTTTTTTTAGATCTAAGAGCTGTTTTACACGTCACAGAAATATCTATCGTAAAAGGAATTTTTAGAAATAATTTTCTCGTCATTAATCGGTTGCAAAAGATCAAGAGGCACTCCAAGCAAGCCCTGACAAACTTATTAGCGGCGCCAGCCGAGATCTCCAATTGGCTGCGGTACAACCACCATGGACACTCGCGTAACCTCCTTTTCCAGAATTGTCAAAATGACAACTCAAAGCAATCATGGATTAAGCATTTCATTTTAAATTCAGTTAGTATCAAGTGGTACACGGTATTCGTATTTTGGGTTGCGTAAAAATAATTTTCAGAAGTAATTTTCTCGTGACTAACCCTGTACATGTATTTTTTACACCCACATATGGTACAACTGAATTTTTCTTCAGTACAATATTAGTCACATAATAATAATTAAAAAGTAAGTTTTTAGTTGCATAAGTACCTACATTTCTTAGATTTCCCGGTAACACAAAATTATTCTTGACGCTCTAACAAAAGTTTTTGCAATATATATTCACAATACACGTAAACCTTTCTCAAACCCTGTAAACGATCCGTTACAATTTACAAGGGATTAAAATAAGTTAGTATTATATCCGTCCAGTGGAATTTACATTCGCTGCATATGGATACTCTAGATGTACTATTAGTTCATAAATTTTATTGTTTGGTGATAAGTATAAAGACAAGTATAGACAATAGAGGCAATTCTGTATCAAAATGTGTTAAAATTTAAAGGTTGTTAAAAATATGATTTTTTAAATAATTGTATAATAAATCTAGTTAAGAACAATAAACACTTGTTTTTATGTTGAGGACTTATTATAATGAAGCTAGTTGCTATAATATAATAGGTAAAATAAGCAACGAGATAAATAGTAACAATCTCTTAAAAAAAATAACCAAAATGACAATTTATTAATAAAAAATCTTATATATAATAACAAGGTGTTTACGCTCGTATTTTTTAATTTTTAAAATGCAACTGCAAACTTCGTCATTTATCTATATTCAAATTGTTTTTAATTCGATATTTACACCTTACCTGATTGCTAAATTTATTGCAACTTAAAATTCAGAATACAAAATATTTAGTTTTAATAAAATAAAATACTTCCCGATGAATTTTACCTTGCGAACAATTGACGCTGCGATAAATTTACGTGCGATATATTGTCGCTGCGATCAATTTACGTGCGATCAATTATCGCTGCGATCAATCGTCGCCGCGATCAATTGTGGCGTGCGACCAATTGTGCTGCGACGAGTTGTTTGCGATCAATTATCGCGCGATCAGTTGTTTGCGACCAGTTGTCGTAGAATCATGTCTTTTATTCTCACTGTCAATTTTTATGTCGTTATTGCTTAGGAGCAATTTAAGGTTTTGCGGTATCATTCGCATTTTGACATCTACCAAAGATACTGAATCGTGGAGAGGTATAAATATGTACTTAAATTTTCTACGATTCCGTTAGTATTTTAGCTGAAACGAAAGTTCGATTATAAATGCGGAATTCGAAGCGAACAAGAAACAGTCACAGTAAGACGTACAGAAAGGCATACTGCGGACGTGGAATCGTAAATTCGGTTATTAGCAAATTATCCTTTGAACTTCACAGTCCCGGTTATAACTTTTGTGGACCAGGAACCAAATTAGAAAAACGATTAGCAAGAGGAGGCCGCGGTAGGACAGGCATGGAGAACTCACCACATTTCTTACACAGAACACAAAGACTTAGAAAATCGATATAAAAGAGGTTATGGTCTTTTTAAGCCCATCAAAATTTCAAAAAACTTACCAATAAATTTCGTAAAACGTGCTGTCACCAACATCGATATTTGCGAGTAATATAAAAGAGGAGTTTTTATGAAAAATTCGCTTCTAAAGTTTGTGCACATTAATGAGTGGCATGGTAAATTTTGACAATAAAGAAGATGCCGGAAGACCTTGAACTGCTTATAAAAAAAACTGACAATGGAAGCTTTGTGTTTTGACATTTATGGAGACCATTGATATCATATTCACAAATCAACGGTTAGTGTAATGTATTAATATAATATATAATCATGAATCTTTACAGACTTTTTATATTATTAATTGCGGACATTTGTGTTTAAGATTTCTATATAATTACTAAAAATAAGTTTGTTTGACGTTCGAAAGTTTGGTAACTTGGAATTCTTTTCCAAATATCGATAACGATAACAATGAATTTTATTTTATTGCACCAGATAAAAGAAAGCAACACATAAGAATTCCTGAGGGTTCTTGTGAGATAGAAGACATTGAGTCATATTTAAATAAAGAAATCAAAAATTATAATTATTATTATTAAAAAAGGGCGACATGAAGAGATGATTAATAAATTTTAGCAATTCGATTTTTAAAAGAGTTAAAGGAGGATGCCGAAACAGTGGTTCAAGTTAAGTTGTTTTAGGAATCGAAAACGCGATTAGTTAAAAAGCTTTAGCGACATTTTGTTCTATATGAACACGGAAATAGAATAAAGAAATTTAAAATGACAGCACCAAGTTTAATAATCAGAGGAAATAAATTTACAACTTCAAAATCGGAAGTTAAATTCACACTCAAATTAAGTAATGTAACAATTGCGTGTTCGTCGTCTATCAAACTACTGGGTATCTCCTTCGATAATCACCTAAAATGGTGTTCATATAACCACCTAAAATGGTTTCATATATAGACCATCTATGTTCTAAATTAGCGCCTCTCTGCTATGCTCTCAAAAACATAATGAGGCACTGTAACTTCTCCACGGCAAAGCAACTTTATTTTGCTAACGTTCAGAGTCTTAAAGTACGGCATTGCGCACTGAGGTCTTTTTCCTCATTTTAACCGTGTATTCATATAACAAAAAAGGGCAGTAAGAATTTTAGGAGGTATAAAAAACCGACGCTCTTGTAGATCAACTTTTCAACAACACGGAATCCTGCCGCTGTCAAATTTATATATATATATATATACATATATATGTATTCACCGGCACTAACAAGCCCAAAAATCTACATTCCACTAATAATATGAAGCCCGACACCTACTTACCAAGCCCGAATTCGGGCTTGATAAAATCCACGTGTATATCGCCGTATTTCGAGGTCTCAAACCTCAGCGACCTCTATGATAAATTTTAGGGGGGGCTTCGTAAAGTCGTAACATATCGCAATATATACACATTTAGTTCCACAGATGTTATGTAGAGTGCGCCTTGATCGTTTGTATATCAAGGCCGACTGAATTCATGCGTTATAAGGCCTGCTCACTCGGGCTTTTTAAAAGTTCTTGTCAGAAGTTTAGAAAGTGGCGTGCTCTTGTGAGTTTTTTTTATAAATATTGTGACGTGATTGTGACAATCATTTGTCGTTAGTAGTTAAAACAACGAAGTAAATTAACCAATAGGTTATGTCAATTTGTCAGCTTTTATTTACAAAGAAGATAATAAGTTATAATACTATTATGAACACTAACGATAGATAGAAACACAAATAATTAAAACATGAAAACTATACACAGAAAACTTGTAAGTATATTAAACTTTTAATACCTTTCTACTCGAGGGTTTGTTATCCAACATTTTTCTCTTTAAAGAGTCTGTTTTTTCCAGACAAATATTGGATAACACTGGTCTAGCTACTATAACAATTAGCATCACACAAAATTCACTCTGGTGCTGTTGGCAAGACAATAATGGGTTTTGTAATAAATGTGGTTCCAATATTTTGATGAGTTGACCGCATGTTCTGTTGAAAGTTAAATGTGGTAACACCTCTTGTGTTATTTCAGCAATTCTTTTGACGAGTCCTACAAAAGGTTCGTTGGGATACAGTAAACCTCCACGATCTTGGAGTGTGATTAATTTCATTAGAGGTCCAGGTAATGTAGTTGAGAGCAGTGGTGCTACACAGTCGTCACATTGTTTTTTTTGTTGCAGCTTTAAAATAATGTATCCCGACAGGAAAGCCACAGAGGCAGAGAATAGATTTGGCTCTGGTATTTCATTCTTTTTTAAATTGTGTATTTTAGTTCGTAGTGTCGCTGGTAAAAGTATTTCTTCAAAGTCTTCATCAATATTTTGTGGTCTCACACGAGAAAGTTGGTTACGGCTTATATTACTTATAGTTCTTGCTGTGTTGGCAGAAGTCGATGATTTTAAAATACCAGAGCGCAAAATTTGCCGTAAACCATACTCGGCAGTACGAGCATCGGTAGTATCATTTGAACCACCTTTCAAGCGTATGTGAGAAAAAGTTGCTTCAACAGCATCGGAACTGAAACAACGAGGTAAAACATAATAAAATCCTGCATCTTTGAGGAGAAACTTGATACACAAAAAAGTACTTTGAGCTGTAAATTTTAGTGCGTGAGCAGTTTCGTTGCTCAGACCTTGGTACCCTGTGCATGCAGAGATCGACTGGATATCATCAACATAATTTTGGAAGTCCTTATTTAGCCACTGCAGGCGTTCATCACAAATATCAATATATGGTGCAATACTGCTGTTTAATGCATGTATGTAGTGCCTTCTGCTTGAGACATTGTGGACTTGGAAAAAGAGGAACATCTTTTCCATGTATAAAATAGTTCCATCGCTATTATCAAAATCTTCATATTTATCTTCTTTTAAGAGCTTCAGTGCTGCGGTAACGGTTGGTGAAAATACCTGTATGGCCCGCAAAACATTCATCTTCTCGAAATTAGATGGGTATAGATGTTTTTTAGTTAGATATCTAACAGGCTTTACAGGCATCCCCTTTTGCAAGTCGTATAAAGCTTTCAAAAATGATGACGAAATAATACCAGCTGACGAGTTCATGTCATGGTCTAAGAAGAGGTTTCTAGCATTTTTGATTGCGTGGCAAAAGTCGAATGATAAGAAGAGGGGCATCGGTAGAAATGGGTTGTTAATGCAGTTTTGCAATATTCCTCCACTTAAATTTTTAAATAGACCAACATTGCCGGGATGATTATCTGTAACAATCCTCAACACCATGAAGCCACAATCTGTTAATAGTTTCATCACTTGCATGGTTAAAGAGTGAAATTCTTTGGCTTGCATAGATGAGTGGAAAAAATACCCACATGGTATGGTATATGTTGCTGATATTCCTTGTACAACATAGCACAACATTTTGTTCGCTATTTTAGGTTTTTTTCCAATAGAAGAGTCAGAACTGCAAGTATTAAGGCCATAAATATGATCTTCAACTCTGTGATAATACATTTTCTCTTTAATTGACATATCCTCAATAATTAGTGAACACAATCGTTGTGCAGGATGCTCTAAATGTGCAATTTCTACAGACAAACGTTCTTTGATAAGGTCATTTTGTCCATTGAAGTGACCAAGATGCCTGTCTATGGTTGCCCGAGATGGTAATTTGACCAAATGTGTTTGGCAATAATCGTATCCTTTAGGTGAACAGTATCTCCACACGGTACATGATCGAACAGACATTTCAGACCATCTTGGCGATTTCTTCTTATAATTATGAATTAGGTCTAGTAGAAAAATGGCCTTTCATCAGAACTGTCAGCATCGCTGTTAATTTGCTCCAGTACGTCTATGGTTTTTGAATGTTTCTTCAGTTGATGCTCAATGTTTTTAAGTTTTGCAGAGCAGCGAGCATGAGAACGTTTTTCTTTTTTTAATTCTAACGCTAAGGCTTTACATTTCTCATGCAAAGCTGTCATCTCACTGGAGGAATTATTCATTTCGTTTGTGGGAGACAAATTGGGATCGTTGAAGTGAATTGAATCGGGAATGGAAGCGCAAGAAGGACTAGGTACAACAGGATCAGTATCCTTCAACAAAAATTAGATTTAAAACGAATTAAAATTATTAAAATGTTTTTTATTATTGTCTAAACTACTGTAAATTTAAAAAATAATTACAATATTGTTACGAATTGAAAATTCGCAGTAGCTATTTCGGTTTTTTTTATTGGCATTCTCGGATCGGATTACATTTTGTTTACTCGTTTTTTTTTCGTTTCGTCATTTCGTGCAATGGGTGGTTGGGTTGGGCACGGTGGCAATGAAGGACAACTTTGGTGGAGGGTTCGTCCCGAGCTTTTGACTCCCCCAGTCGCAAGACTGTCGCGATGATTCTGAGCTTGGAGGGGCTCAGATGAGTGTTTCAGTCTCGCTGTTGTGGATCGGTCTTCTGGATCGTTTCAGCTTGGTTCTTGCTATAAGGAACTGGATGGATCGCGCCATCCCAGAGCTTCACTCTGAAATTCGATTTTCGTTCTGTTTGTTATTTTTGTTCGCGAATTTCATTTGCTTACCTAGGTGGGAACAAACGCCGTGGAGCGTCCCCTAGAGTCTTCGTCATTTCTGGAATCTTGATAGCCTTGTTTGTTTTTTTCTCTTTTGTTAATAACCATCGCATCCACTCATTAGTTACATCGATTAGGGATTTTCGTCGGAATTCGACGTTTCGTAAGTTTGCCACTAGAGGGCCAAACTTCCGTGAACTCTCGCTTCGTTACCTTGCCACGTCATCGCAGGTGGAAGGGAATCCATTTTGCTTTGGTACTCCGTGTTGAATGGTGTTGGGGGTTAGTGCTTTCCTCTTTTGCAGTTCGTTTTAGCAACCTTTTATTTGGTGTTACGTTTGGAATCGCATTCGTCGGATCTGTTGGGTCCCCTAAAAGGTGCTATTGCTGGGAGCGCATTTGTGAGCTGTAAAAGAAATAGTGCGTTCGAGCACTACGACTTCGTCGGATTTTTTGTGGATTAAGAGCACTAGACCATCCCGCTAAAATCGGAGAAGCTGCAGTCGATCCGCAGGTAAATCTTTTGATTAGCTTTTCCCTGGCATCCCTTCGAACAGTGGTTATGGTTATTTTCATGTTAACGATAATATTTTGCTACTTACCAAGTGCATGTGACATGTGGAACCCTTGGGGTTGACTGAATTCGAACATCTTCTCAGACTTTGCTCTCCTTGCAGCTTTTTTTGTTTTGTCGCTGATCTTGTTATTCCCGTGATCGAGAATTGGAGCCAGTTTTGAGTGGGAGAACGAATTCTATGAATTCCAACTGTCGTGGGCAGTTGTGAGCCCTCCCAGAACAGCTGGAGAGTTACCATCGGTTGGACAGGCCGTCACCAAAAACCTCGACTCGACATCGACTGGAAATTCGCTGCGACGCCGCTGTGTTTCGACATCTCGTCGTGGATATCGAAGGAGGCAGGTGCCCATGGTACTTCCATTCCATCTCATTAAGTTTAAGTATTAGTCGCCTTACCTTTTCTTTATTGTATCGCAAAACGTTTCGAAGTTTGGCGTAACTAGCACTCGCACATAACCTAGTAATAACAACCGGTAAGACTGTGACGCTCCGCTCTACGTGATACCTTCGTACGTTCGTTAGGACTACCGAGCGTGTGGCCTACTCCGTTTATCTCATAGCCCTCGAAATAATTAATCAAATCGTTATTCGCTACGACTCCAACTAATTTGTTCGCTTCGTAAACATCGTTCGTATCGCTCGTATTTAACGTTAATTAGTTCATCGCCTTTCGTAATTACACTATCGTTCGTATTGCTCGTATTAATCGTAAACAGTTAGTCGCATTAAATCATTATCATTAATATCTTACTCATTTTCTTTTGCTTAATTATTTAGTTATTTCTCACTCTTACTTGTTTTCTTTTTAATTAGTGACCTTAGGTTTTATTGTAATCAAATATTTTAAGTAACAGCTTGCAATTACAATAGTTAAATATTTTTCCGGTTTTTTGTTGTTGTAATTGTGTCTTAATAAAAACTGGTGGCGCCCTGGCGACGTCGCTACACAAAACAGTGTGCTCTCTCTTCTTTGCGAACCTCTAGCGACCTGACCCTTTGCACCCGCAGGAACTCACCCCTTCTCCACTAGCAGGCCGGCAACGAGTTGTGAGTTTGGCTCGTAACAATATTTAAAAATAAAATTTTTTACCGCACTATACTTACAAATATGGTAGGAATGGATCCCTTGATTAAACGATATCCTGTAGCAACTTTCTTGAAACATTTTTCTTTGAAATGTTTCTTGCAAATTACAGTGAAATCTGTTATTTCGAATGCATCTGCAAGTGGATCAGAAAAGTGTGTACCGTAAATTTGATTAAAAAATACTTACTGTAATGTTTTTTGAAGAACTTTAACCACTCTTTTCTAGTGTTGGGATCTTGAGGTATTTCACACAAAGGTAAGTCTTTATTTTTGCACAAGGCACAGCGTCTACCCATTGTTACAAATAACAAATAAATAACATAAATTGTTTATAACCCAATAAAAACGAAAACTAAGAAATGAAACACGAAAAGTAAAAAACTGAACACGAAAAAATTGTTAAATCAAACACGAAATATGAATAATGGAGCAAGAAAATAATAAACTGAGAAAATTACGCTGACAAGGATATTTACGTTTCGCGCCAAGGATTGACAGTAACTGATTAGAATTGGCAGACAGATGTCGCCACTTTCTAAACGTCACGGCCTACTTTTTGAGAACCGAATTTTCTGCAAAGTGAGCAGGCCTTATAACGCATGAATTCAGTCGGCCTTGTTGTATATATTGTGTAGATGTTTTGGGCATTTTAACAAGCCCACACTAGAAACTACACGTTATGCAGATTATTTGAAGCCCGACGCTTTGGCAACACTGTATAGCCATATTATTTATCCCCACCATAAACTTGAATAATATAACATTTGTTTGTTACATTTTAAATGTTTAAATCTGACTAGTGAACAAGTGAAGATTCGTATTCAGTAATTGAATATTCAATTTTAACAAATTTTATTAACAAATTTGGTTAATAATAATCACCAATTTTTTTGTTTTTGTTACTTAACAACATATAAATATATCTTTCGAGTATTCAGTAGAAAAGTGCGCCTTTGTTTTATAGAAAACAATAAAAAAAAGTTTCACTTCTTTTGTTAGCAACACTTTCCCACTTAGCAACACTCTTCCAGTTAGCAGCCAAACGTCAGAAATGACACGTTAAAAACTATTTTCAAAATTCTATTTTTAAACCGGAGTACACAAAAGAATATCAGGTTGAACGTGTAAAAAAAATGGTTTTCCATGCTTCTTTAAAAATTAATTCACTCGCTGAAATCTTTTACACTGGCTGGAAAACGAGCACTCCTTTTATCTGTAGAACAATTTACTATTATATATTTTTTA